TAAATAATAACTAAAAGGGTATTTAAAAGAACTAGCAAATTATCAAAGGTACAAACTGGAATTGCTTCATAAATCAATGGTTCCTTGTTTTTAAAACAATTTCCCTTTATAATTTGTTTTCTTACTTTTCATTTTTTTCAAAATTTTCCGAGGGGTAACTGATTGACGATGGAAACAAAAAAAGCACGCCCCCTTGGGTTACTATATGGAGATTTGCAGCGTGTCTGTCTGTCTTAAAAACATTTGATTCATCCTAATAAAAAGTGAGTCATTATGCTCAGATTCCATGAGTTTACAGAGAAAAGCCGATTTCTTTGAACTAAGAACATATTACCTTCAGGAGAAAGTTGTCTGGGCGGGAAAATCTGCTTCAACAAGAAGGAAAAACAACCAATAGATAAGGATAGGTCTGGGATGCTGGGCTGGATTCAAAACAGAATGTGCATTTTCTCCGAATGGCTAAGAGAGGTTCTCCAAGCAGAAGTTCAAGAATCCCAAGACAAATGTCACGTCCCGGAAGGTGGGATTTGGAATCTGACTGAGTCTTTTTTGAACAGGCTGGGGGAATTATTTCTCTATCTAGGAGTACTACCATCAGAAGCTTGTCTTCTGCCAATCTGTTTTACAAAAACATTTGGTAGGCACTTTTGATATGCAAAGGTACAACACTCAACCTGCACCATCACTTCCGCCTCCGGCTTCTTTTCTGGGATGATTGGTTGATATGCATCACTCACTTAGTGACTCAATAGATATGTAGTGACAATGCTTAAGAGGCTGGGGATTTTACTCACAGCCTATTGGAGAGGAAGGTGAAAACCAGTTAGTTTTCATACTACACATTTTCACAAAGTGCAGGGAGCTCATCCTATTCATCTCTAATCCCCAGTAATATCCTAGTACCTGGCACATAGCAAGCTCTTTATATGTATACATGCTTTCTGACTTACCACTTAAGTTTTATATTGAGAAATTCTAAGTGAGTAAAATTGCAAACATTGACTTTAATGGCCCTTAATATTAGATTGTACAGTCATGTGATCCCTTGAATTTAGAAGTGATCACATACATAATTTGGCCTAGATCACATACGTAACTCTTGTTTTGGGGGTAGTGAAGCTAACATGTGGACACATAGAAACTCCTCATTTGACTCTGGCATCCCAGAAGTTAGCAAACTATCTGGGAAGAGAAGCTCTCATAGCACTGGGCCAGGTGAGTTTGCCAGAAGTTTCTCCAGAATGGAAGGGGCCAATACTGTCGACATTGTCTCCTTTACCCCCATGAAATCCCATCTGCTACTCATCCAGAGTATAAGTCAGAAAGAGGAGTGGCACTGAGATGTTTAATTTATCTACAGCTGTGAAAACTCTTCAGAAAGTGATTCCATTTTTAGCAACGTAAATATTTTCTTCCAGAACAAAATTTTAGTGACTAGATGAGAACATTCTATGGATATCTCGAATTTAAGATGTGCATAGAAAAGCCAAGTAAGCAAAATTTTAAATATTTAGTTCTAGCCATATGGGTAATGGAGAAAAAAAAAAAGAAAAACATTTGGTTTCATATGACTCTTCTCTTTTTCCTTTGCCTCAAAAGTGAACAACATGTTTTGTTTTTGCACAGAGAAACGGCCATGTTCTTTGTAGCATGTCTTGCATTAAACATCAGAATAATTTTTAAAACTCAAAAGGCAGAAGGATTTTGGCAGAATTCCAGGATTATTTCACATCCATCCATCTTAATAGTGTTGTGGTTCTTTTCATCGTGTTGGGGACTGGGGGGCGGGTGTCAGCAGTGGGAATGGATGTTCAAATGGCTCAGCAAGGTGCCATATGTCAAACAGAGAGGAAAAGACCAGGATTTTGTATTCTGTATTCTCTATGAGAGACTATTGTACAATGGATCTAAGTTCTGGATGGCAGTCATAAAAATGACTCTAAATCTACAATGTGTAACTTGTTAAGTCCAAATATATCTTTCACACACACTCTGTCAAATATTTCTAAATACCACACACTGAAAAGGCTAGAAATGTGAGGGTAATAATAATATCCTGTAATAAGCAGGGAAAGCCTGGGGAAAAAGTCCATTAATTCTCATTTAAAAAATGAAACAGAAAGCATGAATAGAAATGAACTTAAACTGCTTCCTGAAACAAAATGATTTTGACTTTTCTCTCCACTCACCTCATCTAGTATGCAGCTGTATGACCTGTAAATTATTTAACCTCTTGTCTCAGCTTCATCACTTACTCACCCTGGAGAATTATGATAATATAGTGCCAGATCTGTAAGATTGTTGGGACACAGCAAATGAGGAGGGCATCTTAGCTATTATTACAATGATTATATGATCATCATTAGAGAATTGGCCTGAAAAATGGAGCTGGCCCCCTGAAAATAGGAAAATCACCCCTCCTTTTAATATTTGCCACTATCCTACTATGAGTTTTGAGTGGCTGAATATATGTGAAAATAACATTTGCTAAAAACAAGGCCATTGTCCCATAATCTACTTTATGAGGAACTATCCGAACAAGAAAGATTCTCCTGAGTTGAAATGAGATTAATTTAACAGACTAAATTGATATTAGTCTTTCTCAGGAATAGGAAGAGAGTAAGACAAGTATATTGAAATCTTTTGTGAAAATAGGACCATGTGCATTAGTGACTATGAATGTTTGATTTTCTTCTCTTGTGGAGCAGAAGTTAAAATAGAGGGTGTGAATCTTGGTGACAGAGCAAACTTGGACTCACTAGTCTTGGTAATATATCAGAGATCAAGGAGGACTGAATCTCAGAAAACAATGAAATCAGTGTGACAAGAGCTAAGAAAAGTCATTCTTTGATTTTCACTCATTCATTCATTCCCTCACTGGGTGATTCATTATGAGCTGTGTAGTATATTGGGTGCTGTGCGCACAAAGAAGAAGACCTGGTTCCACTCTAAGGCAGCTTATGGGAGCCAGGAAGATGAACAGTAAGACATGCGCTAGAAGAGAACAGCAGAACCAAGTGTAAGGAGCTGGGAGCTGGGGAAGGGTGAGCAAATCAGCCACGAGAGGTGAATTGCTCCACCGTGTATCCGATATGAGGCCTTACCTCTCAAAAAGGCCACACTTTTAAGAATTACTTTCAAGGTAACCATTCTACCTCAATAAAGCTGTTTAAATAATAATGATTTTCATCTGACTTTCTGCCATGTTATTTTTCTTTTGTACTTTCAATTTCCTAAAAAAGAATAACAATAAAAGTCCTTAGAATATTCCAAAGAGATCTGTCCTCATTTCAGATCATTTTCTTGGCAGAGTCCAACTGGGTAGGTCTGGCGAATTTTAAGGCACCATGAAAATAATGACCACTTTTCTCTGAATCCGAGTTCTTATTTTTCATGAATTTACATTGGTGTAATCTCTTTCCAATCCATTATCTCTTTTGAGACCAGGTTCTTAAGGTATCTCTAACTTCTACTTTGGATTTTATGTTTTTTTCTCTTCTTAATCTGTTATTTAAATACAACAAATAAAAGAAAATCTCTTAAATGTGTGATTCTAAAATAGCAATAGCACATCCTTGATCTTCTAGTATCAGGCTCATTCATGTCAACCACAATACAGGGCTCCTTTATAAACACTTGGGTGGGTCACGGGATAGGAGGTAGGAGGTGACATCAGATTTCCATACTGGATCTCATTTGGATAAATAGGAGTTTACAATAATAAGAAATAGATCAACATTCATTTTACTCTTGTTTCTCTTCTTATATTCACTTCTAATTTGAATTTTCAGATATCAGTACTTCCTGGTAGCTTATATCTCACATTGTCTAAAATGTGAAAAGCCACAAGAGGAGAAATTTGATTATCAGTAGAATGGCATATTCCAGGGGTGGGCAAACTTTTTGACTCAGGGCCACAATGGGTTCTTAAACTGGACCGGAGGGCTGGAACAAAAGCATGGATGGAGTGTTTGTGTGAACTAATATAAATTCAAAGTAAACATCATTACATAAAAGGGTACGGTCTTTTTTTTTTTAGTTTTATTCATTTCAAACGGGCTGGATCTGGCCCGCGGGCCATAGTTTGCCCACGGCTGGCATATACTCATCTGTTCTGTCAAAGGACCGAAGGCAGAAGTACCTTCAGGCTGGGGCCCCGTGTGAATGTGTCTCTACCATGAGATCTCTCTATGTAGATGTGTCTATCCATCTACTACAATGAGATCAGGGGCCTTCGTATCTGTGTGAAGAGTAGGAACCAAGCAAAGGTTTCTTCTGAACATTTGTGTGACCTGCGCCTGACCTTGGTATAGTCCTTAAGCTTAGTGCACATCATTCTTGAAATAATTCAGCCATAGTATCATAGTTATTTAAAAAAACAGTTACAGCTCTATTTTTTTAAATGATCTTCCCAATATTTCTAAACAATAGTGAAAAATATAACCCTATTAGTTTCAGTCCCATATATTTTACTAAATCCCCCTTCCTTATTATTAATCTGCCCTGTTTCCATATTTATAGAATGGGGCCCAAATTATCTTTTAGCTTTGATTCTTTATGAGTCACCCAGTAGTACTCTAAGAGTGAGCAGGAAATTATATAACTCTCTTTATATTTTCCATTGTGACACTTATAACAAGTAAGTCCCTTAAAGACTCGACGGGTGAGTCTGAAAGCTGCCCTGCTCTTGCTAAGGGGACAGGATGGGAGCGCTCCTTCTAGGACTTCCATGGCCTGGCTCCTTCCTGCCACCTGTCCTGTGGAACCACAGCCTCTCTACCTGCCCTGCTCGGTTATCACAGCGATTAGCCCAAAGCACTACATCAGCTCTGAGTTCGGTACAGACTGAGCACAGAATTGTTTACTGCAACTTGAGAATTTCTCAGAACATAAGAACCTCAGAAACAACAATGCATACTGGTCCAACTGAGCACAAACACTTCTGTTAGCGCCCGGGGTTGCAAAGGCACAGAGGGTGACTTTTGTAAGTCAGGGGCATAAAAATGTTAGCCTGGCTGGACCATCCCCTGTGCCCGCCTTACATATTCCTGAGCACTGGCCAGACCATGAGACTGAGGCTAGAACACTTCTGAGAGTCTTAAAGTGAGACTGCCGAAAGGTCAAGTTAGTAATTTCCCTTTTTCATATTCAAAGCCAGTTGCGAAAGTGGAGGCGTTGATACCATCTCTAGGCCAGAGGCTTTCACAAGAACCCCTTTGAAATTACAGGCTGATCATGTAATTCAGGGGCATTTTTCTATCTCACAAGGCTGCCCTAAGCCGTGGAGAAGGCACCTCAGCTGAATACCTAAGCGCCCACCCTGCCCCTGCACGCTGAGGCCCCGGACAATGACAGTCCCTTTGTGCTTCAGCTCCTTTACCTGTAAAAAAGGAGATTTGGAAGCGCAATCTTTAAGATCTCAGGCAGCTCTGAAATTCTCTGATTCCGTGAGGGGAAATGATAAGATAATGAGGCTGGATTTCGTGGTGTGTGGACAGCTTCACTCTGTGTTATGCGGCACGTCCTCGGCCAGGCCATGCCAGGCAGGTCATAGCTACTCTCGCTGGGCTGGCCCCGACACCCCTTCCCACCTCTCACTGTTCACTCCAGGGTCTTGTCACTTCCCCTCAGAAACACTGTCTTGGGCAATTTGCAAAGAAGAGAGTGAAAAACATCCCCCCTCTGCATGCTTCATTAAATCCTTTCCCTGGCACGCCATCGCACACTTTCAAGCGTCCATAGCTTCTAGAAAGCATGGGCTGAGTTAAATACAGGTCAGGACATAAAATACAATTGTACTCAATTTCCTATTTTACTCTCTAGCCTTTCCACAGCACTTAAAATTTATGTCAAACACAGAGACACTTTATTGAAATAAGTATCTGATCAAGACGAAAAAGGCAGTAGGTTGCCCGAGAAAATTATCTGCAATAAAGACCAAGAAGGTACAAGAGGAACATGTACAACGTAACCGCCATTCAGAAGGCACTCACGGGTCAAAGGCCGCCAGCAGGAAGTTGAGCAGGAGGCCGATGGACTGCTCCACGTGGATCTGGTGTGTGGTGGGCATCCGCTTGTTGAGCTGGTAAAAAATGGTGGAGAGCACAGCCTCCAGGCGAGCCACGTTGAGTTCCGTGTTCGGGTCCAGGTTGTTCAGGGCATTTTCCCTCAGAGCTTCTATGACGTTCCAAATGTCCACCAGATGCACTGCGCACGGGTAAAGGAGAGTGAACGCATCAGGCCACGGTGCAAAGAAAGGCAAGCTCACTATTTCACACGTCCCACCTGTCAAGGCGCTCGCCGGCTGCGTGTTTGACGACTGTAGGGTTGCCATAAGCACAGTACACAGTGCATCATGCCAAAGACTGGATGTACAGGGTATAATAGCATGCAAATGCTTTACTGAATACCACAGTAGATAGTTACTTCTAGTCTTCATAACAACCCTGAAAATATAGCTGTTTTCCTCACATTACTGGTGAGGAAACAGGATCAGGGAAGTTAACTGACAAAACACAAGTCCAAGTCCAGTCAATGGCAAAACTGGCCTTCAAATCCAAGTCAGTCTGACTTCTTTAAAAAACTGACATAAAGTTGGCATTTAACATCATAGACCTAGAAGGTATAGACTACGTGGATTAGATAAATTTATACATCACAATCCCATTACCGTAGTGTTAGCTAACATCTCCATCATGCTCTATCATTTCCTTTTTACAGTGAGAACATTTAAGATCTAGTTTCTCAGCAACTTCAAAAGTAGATACTATTTGTGATTATAGTTAACAAGTCTATTGGCTAAAAGCATTTTCCTGTTGTACATGTTAACCCCTAAAAAAAAGAGAAAAACCCCACAACACTTAAATTTTATTATTTGGAAGGATGTCATAACTGCATTTGAGAATTTAAAATATTTTCATTTACATATTCTTAGTAGTAAAAGGTTTGAAATAAGAAGAAAGTGGACAGGAAGACGGGGTGGGGAGGGTATGAGGTATCACTACAATGCAACAGCAGAACTAAGTCACAGATAACTTTGCTGGTGAGAACAGCCAATTAACTTAACTCATGGTTACTTTCACTAGGGTGGTCAAGAAATTCATTTCTATTTCTGTTCACCCCGAGGTCTTGTTATGACATCCCAGAAACCATTACCACAATCAAGATAGTACATCCACCATCCCCAATAATCTCCGTGTGCTCCTTTGAAATCTGTCCCAGATCTGCTTTCTGTCATGATTTTCTAGAATCCTGTATAGCTGAAATCATCCAGTGTGTACTCTTGTTTTTTTGTTTGTTTGTTTTTTTTTGGGGGGGGGCGGATCTGGATACTTTTACTAGTGTAACCATTTTGAGAGTCATCCATGTTGTTGGATGTATTAGTAGTTTGTTCCTTTTTGTTGCTGAATAGTATTCTATTAGATGGATATATCACAATTTGGTTGTCAACTCAGCTGCTAATGGACATTTGGGTTGTTCTGGTTTCTGGCGATAAAGAATAAAGTTGCTATGCACAATCATGTACGAATCTTGGTACAGACATAAGCTTCCAGTTCTCTTGCTAAGTAGTTAGAAAGGACGTGGCTATGTTGTATGGTAGGTACATGTTTAATTTTTGAAAATCTCCCCAAGTGTTTTTCAAAGTAGTTGCATCATCTTACATTCCCATTAAGAGTGTATGAGAGTTCCAGTTTCACCACCATTACACCAAGTTCTGGGGTCACTTTTCATTACACCTTTGTATTTGGAAATAAATGTTATCTTTCTCAATGAAGTGCAGTTCCAGTTCTGAGAAATGTGCATTCCCAAGTTCTAGTCTCCTACAGCTTTGCTAATTTCTGACACTGTGTTGAAAGACACAAAACTGACACCTATTGAGCTCCTCGACTTGGAGTCCAGAGCAGTGGACTTGGAGTCTGAAGACCTAGGTGCAAATCTGGCTCTTCTACAAGAGTTTACCCTCTTAGCTTCAAAGACTTACAGCCTCACTTCCTAAGTTAGGAAGTGGGTATTGTGTTCCTTAAATGGGAAATGCATAAAGTCAAAAGCAGTAGTGCCTGATATACAGACACAATACATTACACATGAACAAATGAATAAAGTAAGTTCATACAAATTTTTCTTTTTGCATATCTCTGGGTTCTGACATAGGAACACAAATCACTTTTCAAATGAATTACTTTAATGTTAAATTTGGATAAATTCAGATTTATGGGTTTTTGAATTTACAAAATTCTCTGTATATCACACAAGGAAATTATTTGTATTTTTTGATGTTATTGGTCAAATTTTCCACTTTAACAAGCAAGGCGCTCAAAAAAAAAAGCATCTATAAGTTGAATTTATTTATTTTTTGAGGAAAAAATCTGGGATTTTTACCACTATTCCCTACATATTTGATCTCTAGAGCCTCTGGGTCCAGTCCTTGGGGAGATGTGCGGTGTAGAATACAAAAAGAGCAGCGATGAGGGGACGAGGCCTGTTGTCCTGATTGGTATCTGTGCTCAGGCCACGAAGGGAAGTAGGTTACTATCTGCTTCCTGACTCTGGGTCATGTGAAACAGGCATTGGAGAAGACGCACATGAACGGTGAACTTGAGCATAGGAGGGAGATGGCTACAACCAAGTAGGAGGAATGGCTGCTGGGAGAGGGGGGGCATCTGGATCCTTAGGTTTCTCCTAGAGTCTCTGTAGGGCACAGAGAGGCTCCCAGGATTCCCAGGAGTGGAATCATACAAGTCCATGGAAGCAGCCAGCATGTCCATAGACAGTGGGAGGGTCCCTCAGGAACTCCAGCCTCTGTGTGCCCAATCTCTTCTCTGCCAAACCCACTTTCTCTGGGATTCTCTCCCTTGATGAATGGCCTCAGCCCCGCATTCTTCCCCGACCCCAGCTAGAATCTGGATTTCATCCCTTGATCCTCATATCTCATATACAATCAATGACTGAGTCCTACTGGACTCTATCTCCAAAGTATCACTTTAATTCCTCCATTTCCATGGACTCTTATTCCCATCACCCAATTTCACCACCCAATGCTATCACCATTATCTCATTAACTAGGTCCATTCTTTCATCTTCATTCTTTCTTCACACCAATTCATTCTAAACACTGTAGCCAGGTAGTATTTCTGAACTGCATTGCTGACTTGTCACTCATACGCTGTGTAAACTCCTTGAATAACTTCCCATTAAGTTGAAACTCTTCAACATGGATGGTAAAGTTCTTTCAGACCTGGCCCCACTTCCTTCTCATCTATGTCTCATCTATGCCTTAGTGTCAACACCACTTCTTCAAGGATGCTTGTCTGGATTTCTCACCTCTAGCTTTTGTACCCCGCTACTTGTCATCTTAGGGCCCTGCTCTCCCCATTATTCAGTGGACTCTGTGCAGGCCGGCTGGTTGTCTGTTTGTCCTCTGCATCGTATGTTGCACAGGCGGAGACTCCGTCTGCCATGATACTATTCACACCCCCAGCCTCACACCCCGCAGGAGCTTAATACATATCTGTTGGCTCAGTAAACACATGACAAGACGACAACTCAACAGTGAATGTGCATGTGACTGCTAAAGAGGCAATATGGTATAGTCATGCAGAATCACAAAAGCCTTGGTTTGCATCCCAGGTACATCATCTGTCATGTTACTTGGCTTTTCTGAGTCTTCATCTTAGCAAAGTGGGGCCGGCAGGAGCATCTACCCTCAGATGATTACTATACAGAACTGGAAAAAAGAACGAATGGGGTGGTGCGTATAAATTGCTTGGATAGGGCATGTAACTTGGGAAATAATAATACGGACACATAAAGTGTCTAGAAATCATATGAAAGCGACTAAAAATAAGTATGTTCTACATTTGGAAAGTCTCCATATAAGGAAAAAGGAAGTACTAACTACGGCTGTGAGACTAGATAATTATACATGAAAGGACAATGAGGCTTCATAGTTATGTGCAAGGCCCTGCGGTAGGGCCTGGGGACTCAATGGCAAACAATGCAGACGTGGCTCCTGCCTCGGGGAACTGAGTCTGAAGGGGACACAGAGAGGAGTCACAGTCACACAAACAGATAAGCAGAAATTCTGTGACTTGCTGGGTTAGGTTATGGCTGTGAAGGGGCCAGAAGTACAAGAAAAGCACTTCACACGGTATTTCGTGCACAATAAGCATAGTTCAATATCTACTAGTTATCATTGAGAAAGATGAGTATCACAATTCTTTTGCTGAGTTGAGGAGGAACACCACGAAATGTGCTAAGTCGAGAGTCATTAGGCAGTTATCAAGGGGTCTGTTTTAAAGTCTGACTGTTGTATAAATATGCTGCTTCCAGTTGAGCATTTTAGAAAATGAGGACATCTAGGTATGCAAGAATGGTGATATACCACTAGATGGCACTGCACACATTTTACTAATAGCTCTCAAGCTGTAACTGTCCATCATAAAGCACCTGCTATTAGGTATAGGCAATAGGAAGTGGGGTTTCCTCATCCATATGACGGTATACATTTTAAACTAAGAGGCTAGAAAAGGCAACAGTTTGCACAGTGACATTATTTTGTTAACATCAATCCTATCAAGAATAAACAAAAGGTTTTCTTAAAAGTAGAATTTAGTTCTTCATAGAATCAAAAATATGGTTAGTGTTAACTGCAGGTAATTAATCATGAATCCCTCACAGTAGCTTTGTCTTTATAAATAAATGGAAATAGACAAAACTTCAACAGTTTGTCTTAAATTCAAGAAATCCCATGTGGAAAGAAAAAGGCTAGGATGAGGATTGGGGGAGGAGGGTTCGGGGTTCGGGGAGGGGGGTGGTTTCCCCATGAGTAGAGAAGAATTTTCGAATCTCAAGTGATGTTGCTCATGTGTCCCACTATTTCAATAGGAGATGGGCTCTTAGTTCATAGTTAGAGATGACTTAAATCCAGGCGTCCCTGGGGAATGTACAGAAATGCCAAACTCATTGATAGCTAATAGAAATGATGGATGACATAAGCGTTATTGGAAGTAGTAGAACTGTGTGAATAGGGTAAAATACAGAAGAGAGGGTACAGAAAGTACAGGAATATCAAAAGACAGCTTCAAGATTTAGTCTACCTCTGAGTTTGTCCAGAACCAGCCTTCCCACTGTAGCCACACTCTTCAGAGTCTGAGAACCAAGTTCAGGTGGTGTTTCTGATTAGTTTACGCCCGGGTTTGAAGTGCCAA